CTTTGTCAGAAATATTGTATTCAGCCTGTTGTTGTCATAAACAACAGGAAACATTAAGGTCCATCTTCTTGTTTAATTGTCTTTGCAAATACTATGACAGTTATTCATTAGCTGACCAACACAAATTAATGTAAATACATTGAAAATTGGAAACATAATCAACCTAATTGGATACACTGGTTGATTCTGACAGTTGAACAATCAAAATATACACAAGGGGTATTCCAAAATTTCACCAGTTTACTGGATATTTTGTTTTCTCTTTCACTCATTTAATGATAATAAAATCAACTAGTCAAAATGTTTTATGTTAATATCAATTGAAATAACTAGAAAGTAAAAAATCCTCCATTGATTATACTTTTTTTGTATTTGATTGTAAATCATTTTTGACACAATTCAAAGTTTTACAATTACTATAAATTTTATTAAAATGAATTGATTGTAATTTGATTGATTGATTGAACATTGTGTTTACATCGTTATTGTTATCAAGTGATTCAAGTCTCTCTCGACAATAATTAAACCATGAGAATCATTTTAATCTAATTATCTAATAAAAGAGTGATGAAAATTAATATTGATCCGTTGTTATTATTAGTTACACATAAAGTTATTTGTTCAAACTCGAAAAAAAAAGGTAAAGTCCAACAATAAGGTAACTCGAAACTAACCTAGAAGAAAAAAGTTTGTGATGATAAAATAAGAAGATGAAGAGTCGAAAATGAGTAAAGTGTTGACATGGAAAAGGTTGAGGAGATGAGGTGTATTTATTGTCATGGAGATGGAATCTGTTTATTCAGGAATTTCAATATTCTTATTATATATAAATAAATAAATAAATAAATAAATAAATTTCTCTTTCAGGGGAGAATGAGAGAGAAAATGAAAATACTATCGAGGAACAGCTTTTAGTACAAAAGGGTATGGAAAAACTGAGAATTGTAAGAATTGAAAGAGAGAGAGAGGAAAAGATAACCTCTAATCTCTGGAGTGAAAAGTGAATGAACAAAATGGTAGAACTTTTTTTTTATTTGTATTTACGAGCGAATCATCCTATCATCAAAATCAGAACATTTCATAATCGAAATGATATATAAACCATGTAAAAGGCTTAACAGAAAAAAACTACGATCTTGGCATAGAAAATCAAATAAACTCTCAATTTCTGAACATTCTGAGATTACAAAGCAATCATTGAACTCGATTATAGTATAATATTTATATAAAGCTAATACTGAACTTTTGAATTAATATATATTATTATTATATCCAATTGGAAGTTTCAAATTCATGTCCAAATGGATATTTGGACATTGTAATGATGATATGGTTAATGATAGTGTCTCAAGGTCTTTGTGAGGATAAAAAACTATCATTGAGAATCAACTGAGTTAAAGTTACATGAAGAGACTTGGAAAAGGGAAAGAAAAAAACTCCAACCATGAATTGACATTGTTCAGGATGATTGTTTGATTGAGATTAATTCATTCTAATGCTTTTGTTTATCATCATCATCATGATTTCTGTTCATCTCAAACACAAATAGACAAAAGCTACAGGGTGAGAGAAAGAGAAGAAAACAAAAATTACTAATCTAATGTAACCATAATTCAATTGATAATCATGAATTGAGGTTGTTCCAAGTTCACTTGAATCGAGGATAAAGAAATGGAGATTGAGATGAAGATGAGAGTTTATCCTAATCTAACGACTGTTGATCCCTTACCTTTGTTTTGGGTTGTAAATTATCTTATCATTTAATCTGAAAGGTGATTAGCTAATTGTGATTAGATTTTTTACTTATTCTTCTTCTTCGTCTTTTTCTCTTATTCTTTTCCTCTGTATTGAATCAACTGGTTCACCCTTTATAACAATAGACAAAAAATGTTCAGTGTTTTCCCATGAAATTGATCATACACATGAAACTCATCATTGAGATGTAGTTAATGTTATATAACATTTGTAGATGTTTACAAATGTTCAAAGTTTATCTCTCCATAGGAATTGAGCTTTTTTCTTTCTTTGCTAAGATACAATTCAACTCGAATCATGAAATATCTTCATCATGACTCTCGGAACAATTTTCCTTATAAAACATTGAGAGATATTTTTTTCTCCTTCTTCACTTTATTTACCTTATTATCCATTGAATCAATCACAATACAATTACAATTGATTTAATTACAAATCTCTCTCTCTCTCTCTCTCTCTCTCTCTCTCTCTCTCTCTCTCTCTCTCTCTCTCTCTCTCTCTGGTATAATACAATTAGTTCACCTTTTTAACAATCAATTTGTAATCAATTAGCTCAAAGATTACACATCACATGTAAATCAAATCTAATTAAATCTAATGGTAATTAAAATGAAATCACTAACAATTATCAGTTAGATAGTTTTTCCAAAATCAAAGTGATTTTTGGTGTTTCTCATCAATTATCAGTAATTAACTAAATCGTCACTCTTATTGATCATATAATTAAAATATACTAATAATGATTATTGCATTGGGATTTCATTCATTTACTTTGATCAATTTTTTTTTTCATCTTCTCCATATCAAAGATTATCAATTACAATTAACTATTCAATTCTGTTGATCCATTTTGAGTGATATCATAAATACATTTATTATCATAATAATAATACATGTAACATGAACATCGTACATACATAAATGTTATTTATTAATGATAATGATGAAATTGTTTCATTTATTATAGTTGATTGATTTTCACGTCTCAATGAATTATGATAATATTAAACATCTCATTTATTAGTTTATTTAATGACAGTATAATTATACTAAATCAATGGATTGTAATCAGAATAGTTTCCATGTTAATAAGTTAATTGTTATCAACATGACAGTTAAAAGTTAAACATCATATCTCTCAATATTATTTTGATTGTTCATCCAACTTATTAATAAATTGTTCTGATTTTCCTTGTCAAATTAGATTGTATTAACAAATGATAATAAAATCACAAATTAATTTAGTCTATTCAATTTCACCAAATTAAAAGTCGTGTAAATTTGTTCAATGATTAGTTATTAATAATATTCAACAGTTAATTGTTATCGATTGAACTTCACTAATTGTTCAGCTAAATTGTCATGATAAACATTTCCAAATTTTCAAGTTACCAACTGATTTTCAAGTTGATTTATACTTGAAGTTGATGGTCAATCGGATTGACCTCTTGACGGCTCTCAAGTGTCCACTCTGTATTTATCTCTGTTTATCTTGTGTATATACACCAAGGTAAAAATTACATTTGATTGGATCTCTCTCTCTCTCTCTCTCTATTTTTTTACAAGTTAAATTGACAATTGTGATCAGTAGCTAGTAAACTACCACTTAATTAGATTGTTGATTAAACTTGTAAACTGAATTAACCTTTAATTGTCTAACTGACAATGTCCAGGATGTCAGCATGAAACGTTTGACATAAAGTGACGATTTCCTCAATAACAATTACGATTCCCAAACATATCTTAACTTTTGTATCGTCTATTTTTTTTCCTCTTGGAGTTTTCAAGTTTTTCCATAGAACCGGAAGTAATTAACAAATTATCGATTTAAATGATCTAATAATTGGAATTTTTCAATTCTCTCCTTTTTTGGTTTTTTCCTTGAAACCGGAACAATAGTTTTCCACTTACCGTTATCATGTTGATGAAAGATGAACATGATCATAATAATAATAAGGGTGCGCAACAGATAAACTGATAATTCTGTACATGAGCAATTCTGCCGATCATTATGAGAAAGAAAGAAAAAACTCTGATGATATTATCTTATCATCTTAAATGATATTACACTTATAATATTTATTAGTTATCATCTACCAGCGCAGAGAATTTATTTATATTATGATAATATTAAGTTACGATCATCAAGTTGACTTTTATCTCTTACAATTTTCTCCTTCTTTCCCTGTAGGTGACCAATTGAACAAGTTTCAACATGTTAACCTAACGATATTCATGAATGGATTCTGACCGATACAAGTAATAGACAGAAATTAAGAGCATCGGAAATGAAGATGAATAGAAACATAAAGAAAAGATCCATTAATATATCTTCATCTTTCTATTTTCCTGTCTACTTTTCTGTCTATTTTCATTCTTCTTTCTCCTAATTCTGATCAACATTATCATTTATACATTTTCCTTCAGTAACCAATGTAATTGTTGTAAATCAAACGATTACTTCAATTCAATTAGTAACAATACTTAATAATTCACTTGAATGTTATAATCTTTTTTTTTCTTACTTTTCTATTACTTAAAAAGATTTGATCATCATCATCATCATTAGTGAAACTATTGGAACTTATCAATAATTTCAAATTGAATGGTTAAAATTGAGATATTCATCCAGAATAATGGTCAACATCCAGATAGATGACCATTAACATGGTCCAGTTCAAATATATAATCCAAGTTATTTACTAAACTTTCAGTTCCCTCATAGTATTTATATTATCACCTTTTTGTATTTTCATCAATAACCTTACTTATTATTATTATTATCGTTCTCATAACCAGCATCGTCTAAATTGTTATCAATTTAATCATAGACTTTTCCTTTCATAATCATAATCATCATTATCATTAAATTACACAAATAATGAAAGTTAGAAATTAATTTCTCAATTTCTTATATCATCTTTCATGATTATCCAAATAATTGAAATAATATCATGATGAGAATGACAGAAACTATTAACTTGTTCATGTCAAAGATTCATGATTATAAAGGGGGAAAAAATGAATCCGATTAACTTAATATAATACCATGAATATCAGAATCTATTAACATTTTCATCAAGATTGAAAAACGATCACAGAATTGATTAGATTTCTGGGGAAAAAAAAGTAATTAAGAGTCGAAATTGTTGATCATCATCTCGATGTCATCAATTGATAATATATAATTTTTTTTTTCGTTCTCTGGTTTGATTAATTGATTTAAAAGAATATAATTTACTTACAATTGATTAACAAATTTGATTCAAGAGTAAATGATGAGGAAAATTTATGAAAAATATTGTTGTTGATAAATGATGATGATGATGATTTTGATGATGATTTTGATGATGATAGGATGAATATTAACTTACACACAATGTCCATGGATGTATTGATTAACTTTTAACTTGAAAATCCATTTACAGCAATCAGTTAATTTAGTTTGTTATTTTTTTTTCTCTTCAATAATTTTCGTTCAATGGAAATAAATTTTGATTCTACCTTTTTATTTTCACACCACAGAGTAAAAGTTATTACATGGGATTTATATTCTGATATAATAATAATAATAATAAGATGATAATGATAACGGTTGAGGAGAAATTTGTTCTGTATGAGATTAGATGAAGATGAAACAGAATTGAAAAGAAAAATATATATAAGAAACTTCCAGCTGTTCCAAGTGAATTCTAACTGAAAACTAAGCAGAATGTTCATAACCCATGTTATGTTCAATTGAATAATACGCATGGTTAATGTTATCGACCATTTAACTTTCGAGTGAGAATCAGTTCAGATATGTACAGTTGATGGAAGGAGAAAATAATATATAAAGTTATCATCATCGCCGTAATATCAACAATATTGGTAATCCTAATGATCTGTAGCTGGGAATGAATTTTGATAGTTACCGATGAGAATGTTGATCTTTTTTTTTTAAAGATACGATTTAGAAAACAATCAAAGTTAAATTACTTTTGTTGTTGTTGTTGTGTTGACCTAATTGTCTATTGTTGTTATTGACAGTTCTCAATGGGCAAGGATGAATTTCGATCAGAATTAATCTGGAGAGTTAATTATAAAGATATTATTCTTCCGTTGGATTATATACTGCATGATTTGAGAAAAAAAAAGAAAAGGAAAATATAAATTATTCAGTTGATTGTTTTTTTCTTTCGGTGGTTTTGATTAGAAATTGATTGCGAAAATATTTACTCTCAAGATTTTACAAGTATTTCCAATTATCAGGATATCTATCAGACAACTGAATCAAAATTGTTCATTGGAATGGAAAGAGAGGAAGAAAAATTTATTTTCTTATTGATCAATAAATGAACATCATCAAAATGAAAAGAAATCAAATTTTTAATCAATAATTTTTTTTTCGAACTTCAACTAGCCTGCCCTCTGGTGTTTCTTTTTCAAACTATTCGGGTGCCGGTTGTTTGGTTTACGTTTTTGGTGAATTTGTTTACATTTGGTTTGTTGATGTTTCGTTAATTTGATTGAATCGAAAATGATAAAAACATTAATTAGGTTGATTTATCGGTTAATCAAGAAGGATAAAGTTCCTGTGGTGTTTATATTTGGTCCAACTGGTGTTGGTAAGACTAAATTGTCCATTGAATTGGGTAAACATTTTAACTCTGAAATAATATCAGCTGATTCTATGCAGGTAAGATGATTAGAAATTTGGTTGTTCGAATTTAATTTTAATTTTTAAATTCTTTTCTTTTCCTTTTCAGCTTTATAAGGATCTCAATATAATTACTAATAAAGTTACCGAACAAGAGAAACAAGGAATCAATCATCATCTAATAGATTTCGCTGATCCACTTCATCCTTTTACTATTGTTGATTTTAGAAATCGTGCCTTACCAATCGTAAAGTTTTCTCGTAAATTTGTTACTTTTTGTTATTTTTTTCTTCTTCTCCATTCAATTAATTATTCATTTTCTGTGATATTTTGTGCTTCTTTCTTTTTTCTCTTGTTCTATTAGATTGATGAGCTGATTGCGTGCCAAAGGATACCAATAATCGCTGGAGGAACAATGTATTATGTGGAGAGTCTTCTTTATGAAATATTGATTGAACCTGATAAACGTGGAGACAATTTGGTTATTGATGATGATGAAGAGCAATTAAGAGGGATGATTGATTCAGGATTTGTTTACGATGATTCAATTACAGCAAGTGAACTATTTGCCCGACCAATTTTACCTAAGGCTCTTAGATCAGTTTCTTCGGAAGTTCTTCACTCAATTCTGGCCTCAGTTGATCCCGAAGGTGCGGCTAGTTTACTTGCCAATTCAAAGCGAAAAATAATTCGAAGTCTTCAAGTTTACCAGCAAACTGGAAGGAAACACTCAGATTGGATTAAAGAGCAAAGATCCAAAGGTGGAAATAGATTCGGTGGTCCATTACGTTATCCTAATTCCATTATACTCTATCTTACCTGTGATGAAACAGGTAAGTTGCAATCAATTGGAAATTTAATCAAATCATAACTGAGATTGGTATTTTTTTTTGTTTTCTCAATCCAATTATAGTTCATAATAAAAGGTTAGATGAACGAGTTGATCAAATGATTGAACAAGGATTGATTGATGAATTAATCAAGTTCCATGAAAACTATAACTTGACACGATTAGAGCAAAAACAGTGAGTACATTTGATGTATTAAAAGCTCGAGTACAAATTGTTGAGTTAACATTTGATTTCATTTTTAAATTTCCATAGAGTTGCTGATTACACTGAAGGCATTTTCCAATCAATTGGATTCAAAGAGTTTCATGATTACCTCATGTTAGATTGTGATGAGAAAGCAACAGAAAAAGGTGAAAAACTATTGAATTCAAGTATTGAGAGACTTAAATTGGTAACTCGTAGATACGCTAGGAAGCAAAAGAAATGGATTAAGAATCGATTCATTAATGCAACTGATAGACCGACACCCGATATTTTTCAATTAGATACAACTGACCTTTCTCAATGGGATGACCAAGTGAAAAACAGAGCAATTGAGATAATCAATCTATTTAGTCATTATCAATCTTATCCGAAAAATTTGACACCAATTAGGAAAAGTATATTCATTTGATGAAACAAATTCAACAAATAAAATCTGAATGTTGATTAACAGTATTGAGAATAGTCATCAGTTAATTGTTTCCTAAGTAAGTTAATCCAATTTGATTGAATGGAATGAAAAGTTTTCCAAATTTTTTCTTATTATTTACCAAATCAATGTGGAAACTAATCAATACCAGGACATAGGTAACAAATTGATTCTTTTTCCTTGAAAGATCATTTGATTTATTTTAAGATTAATTTTGAACAATCTTATTAAATTAAAGAGTCGTCCAATTTCATGATTGTTGATTGTTAATTGTTAAGCTAAAATTGTAATGACAATTCGTATCCTATATAATCATATCCTAATCCTAGTTTTTTTTTCATCGTTACAAAAAAGAAAGAGGGAGAAAGAGAGAGAGAGAGAGAGAAAAGTGTGGGTATGTGTTTAAAGATGAATTTGTTGGAGAATTAACAAAATGGCAAATCAAATTAATTGTCGATAAATTAACCAGAGTGCCTTGGTAGGCCACACATTTCACAGCTTATAGATTCTGTTGGATTTTCGAAAGTACAAAATGAACAAGACCAGATTATTGTCACATCATTGGTGCTACTTGAAGAGGTCGCAGCTCTTGAAACGTTGTTACTTGATGATGATTGTGAGGGCACAGATGAGGCTGTAATAATAATGGATAGAAAAGAGAAAAATTAAATTGTTAGCAAATTGAGACAAGGAAACAATTGGTAAATAGGAAGAGAGAGAGAGAGAGAGAGAGAGAGGAAAATATGATTAACCTGAGTCTTGAGCAGCGATAAGTTGTTCTAATGTTTGCCATTCTTCAGTATTAGTCCATTCGAGAGCTGCTTGGTCATCCTTTTTATTGATCGCCTCAAGAAGAGGGTCAATTGAGTTTCTTAATGGAAGCATATCCATCGTTGAAATATATAATATGAAATGAAAATCTTGAACTGATTGTAGAAATTGTTTTTGGTTAAACTGGCTCAAATAGCGACAAAGTGATGAAAAATCTTGAATGTGACCTTGTATCGATCTATTCTCGATAGGAAAAGGTTTCTTATCAAGGGCAGGGTTAAAGGTGTACTTAGGCTCTACTGGTGCGGAAACGGGAACATCAACCAAAAGATATTCAACTGGTAAGGTTCGAGCAAGTTTCTTTATCTCATTACCAAAACTGTCTTTCTCTGCATATAAAACACCCGGTACATATTGTTGTTTTGTTGTTTCTCTAACAAAGGCAAGTTCGGGAGCATCTCGAGTTGGTAAAAGGCAATTGTCACGGACTAAAGCCATACATTGATTAGATACTTGATAACCTTCCATGTGAATTTGATTATCTTTATCTCCGGTAACACAGACAGTAACAAATTTAGATCCAAAATAGCCTGAAGTTGAAAGTCTACAAATGTTTGGATAAATATTTTGAAAGTGTCCAGCATGAATACACTCTTGAGCACTGAGAAAATATGTATCAGCTGAGCGTAAATGTTTAACGGTTCCTTTATTAGTATCTTCAGGTATGAGATCAGTAAATATCCAGCCAACTCTGTGAAGATTTAATTTCTCTGATATTGAATCAATCTCTGATTGATTTGGTTCAGGCCAAGTTAATTTAACAAAATCCCGACCTGTTTCCTGAGGTGGCTCATAAATAGCAACAACCGTAGTCTTTATACCAAGAGGAACATTTTTGGCTACCTCATGATAACCATATAAGAAGCCTATCCTTTGATGACCAGTAGAACGCCAATAGTCCAAGTATCTTTCAACAATATTTGCATTCTCAAAGACTATGTTATCAACATGTCGATAAACCTAATGGAAGAGAGAGAAAGAGAGAGAATAGAAATCATTTCCAAGAGAAAGAAAAATAAACAAAAGCAAATAAGAAAACTAAAACAATCTCATAATCATAAACGACATCATGACGATGATAGAATCACATACTTGCTGTGCCAATGTAATTGCGTTCGGTTGACATTTAGTACAAATACCCGCAGGCCAAGGTGAATGTTCCTTACAACCTTCTTTAATTTTACAGCTTATATCATCTAAAGCTGCAAATTTACCCCTGGAAGAGAACAAGGGAGAGAGAGAGAGACATTAATTTTTAAAAGAATTGGAACAAGTAGAACAAAAATTTAAATTCTAAACAAAAAGGGAAAGAATAAGTAAATTTAATGATGACAAGCAGAAAATTTTCTCCAATAAAGAAAAGAATATAAAAAATAGATACAAACCTGTCAACTCCAGCAGTCATTTTCCTTAAATATGAATGGAAAGACATATGCTTTATATTGTGTTCTTTCATGTATCCTTCATCGTAAGGTTCTAATGGGGTACAATGGACACATTTGGCCATCTCACCGTGTTGACACGATTTCGTTTTGCCACGTTCAATACGACCTTTATCGGCCCGTAATTGAATATCTACAATATCTTCAATAAGATTTTTACCATTTTCTGGTGTTGACTTATTCTTATACTGGTTCATATGTGTAACAATTGATTTCTTTTAAAATCCACAGAGAAAAACAACAAAATAAAGTTAATCAGGTTTGGAAACTGTTTCAATTGGTAATCAATGAAGTCAAGGTGGAAATTTAATTCACTAATTGTTCACACAATTAATTGGAAATGAAAATCTGTTGTAATTAATTGTTAAGCTTTTATAAAAAACTAAAACTTTCACCTTTGAGACACAAGATGTCAGGGCTAATCGAATGACTTGTTTACTTTTTTTTGAATAGAAAAGCGCGTTTTTCAAATGGGTAATTCCAAATGTTGAGAATTTTTTTTCTCAATATTATTAAAGTTTCTCGATTTGTTTTTAGATTTAATTTCAATTCGATAGCAATTCAGTTTGATTTTGTTTCATTCAGATGATAAACTTGAATGAACTTTCTGTTCAACTGATTAGTAAAGTACAGCGAAAACTAAAGTAATCACTGTTAATATTAATTTCGAGAGGTAAATTATTCGAGATGAGAAATATTGTAAATCTAATATTTGGAAAAGTCGATGAAAATTTTTGAAATGAAAAAATTTTCGCTTCGAATATTATTCTAAATTCAGTTTGCAGAATTTATTTATTCGAAGAAGATTGAGTTTCTCTTCTTTTTCCTTCTTCTTTTCCATGTTAACTGAAACAACTAAATACAATCAAGAAATTGCTCAAGACTTTCTGATTATGATAATTGAAATTATCGAAATTGAAGTTTGTTCATCCAATATTTTTCTTTAATAACAAAATATTCATTCAGTTTTTTGTGCTCCATCATTTTCTTTCAATCAATCTCTTCCTTTCAAAGTTAATCACCTTTCGAGTATAACAAAGTTATCATTAGAACATTTTTTTCAACATAGAAAAAAAAATTTATCAATTCTGCTTCAGGCAGAATTCAATTCTCTTTCTCTCTTGAAGGATAAAAGAAAAGTTCATCAATTTAAAAGTGATAAAAGTAATAATAACTTATCATCTTCTTCATCACCATCACCATGGGATGTGAAACAATCTAAGGTGTTATATATAAATAAATATTTCCACTCAGGTGAACATATTGAAAGATAATGGAGAAAAAAAATCCATTCGAGAAAAAAGAATAGAAAAACTCTGAACTTTTCTGGAAGAATGAAAAAAAAAATTCTCACACAAGATGAGTAAAAAAACTCATTTACACCTGAACATTTGTCGAAACTCAACTTCGACAATTACACCAACAATATCATTGTTAGAATTTACCTTTTATCACTTTCTATTGTTCATCAAATGATAGAAGAAAAAAAAAGAAACCAAAAGCTTGAGCTCCATTTAACAGTTCTCTCAATGATTAACTCAACAATTTAGCTTAACAACAATTTAAAGGACAATATCAGGTCTAAATTGACACATAACTTTCACTCGGATTGAGATAATATTTACAATTATGAAAATAAAATGTTCCCATTGAGGTAAAGTTTTCAAACCATTTTAACAACAAAAAAAGCTAATCAAGACAATTTAATCTACTCGGTCTATTATATTAATAACTTAATTACCTTTATATTATCATCATCATCATTATTCCGGAAAAATGTCCAATGCAATTGACAGATTGATTATCAGTGTAGTTGATTGAATTTAAAAACTGATTGATTCATTTTTTTTGCTATATATTATTGGTCCATGACTGTTGACTGATTGATTAAAATTCTGGTGACAAATTTAGTTCTAGTGAGAATTGATTCAGATTAAATAATTCAATCCCTTTTACTGGATAATTTCATGGTGTTTTCCAATTACAAACCAAAGGTGAACAGTCAACATTATCCCTTAGATCTGAGTCTTCATTTCAACTTGGAATCAAAGATATTATTATTATTTCAATTATCTTCCCAGTGAATTCAGTATCACCTTCACACAATGATGAAAGTTTCTACCTTTTTCCATGAGACATTCAATTTATTTTGAACCAGAATAAGTTTCATGTTGAACCTTTTAAGTTTTGATCATCATCATCACCAAGATCATCACCATCATCATTAACTTTATTATTACAATAGCCAATGGTCATCATTATCATTTTAACATGTTCGTACATCTAAAGTGATCATCATTGAATCAACAGAAAGTAAGGTCAAGATAATTTGAAATATTTTTCTTGTTTACTTATAGTTAATTGTTGACAGATTTTCTTTTCATCAATCTCCATCATGATCATCATCAAATCAAATTGGAAATTAATTGGAATACCTGTAAACTTGAACATTACAAGTTAAGATAACATTTAATTGAGAATAATCTTATTATCACATCTCTAACATCATCATCATCATCATCAGCTACATGATTATCATTATCATCTTTTTGTTTCTTCATCTTAATCATCATCAACAACAAGATTCTTCACTTTTATCCTTTCAGAATCTTTCCAGTTACTGATACAACAACCATGAACTATAACTGATTCTCACTCGAAAGTTAAATGGTCGATAACATTAACCATGCGTATTATTCAGTGAAACTAACATGAACTATTAACATTATCGTGAGTTTCCAGTTGATATTCACTTGGAACAGTTGAAAACTCACATTTTCTTGTTACAATTAAAGTTATCATCTCATATTCACTGAGTCAAATTTCATCTCTTTCATCATCATCATCATTATCATCACCATAACCATCATTCAAACATATTACAATTAATAATAGACAAACGGAAACAAGAATAATAATCAATAAGTAATAAAAAGTTAAATCAACTTTTCTAATGAAAAACAAAACTTTGTAACTTTCTAATTTTGTGATCAAAATCAAAAAATTGCAAAAACTTTCAATGGAAACCTAATCAGCTGATTGTAATGGATAAACTTAATTAGTTAAATTAATCAATATCAACTCATGAAAATAATAGTTAATATCATCGCCTCGATCATCAATATTTTCATCACTTCCATCATCTTTTCTGTCATCATCTTTTATTCATTGATCCATTGTAAGTATTTTTTTTTCATTCTTTCCATAATTTAAATCAATGGAAAAAGTGAGTGAGTGAGAGAGAGAGAGAGAGAGAGAGAGAGAGAGAGAGAGAGAGAGAGAGAGAGAGAGATGAATACGAATAAGGATAAAGAAGATAAAATAACAAACATTATGAGTATCGGGAAGACAAAGATGATAAAGTAAATGTCATCATCCTGACACTTCATGTTCAATGAATTCATGTTGACTCAATTTTTTTTCATCTCGTTCCTAAAATTTGCTTATCATATTCACAAGTGAAACTTTTACTCTATCATCCTTATAATCATCATTATCATCATCAGCATCATCATCTTGTGAGTGAGTGTGTTTTTTTCAAATACTCAGCAAATCTTTCACTTTTTCTGTATCATAACCCATGTAAAACCTGAATCAAGTATCATGAACTCAGTCCTGGGTGAAAATCCTTGTCAGATTATGCTAATCATCTGGATATTGATTAAATTTCAATGCACTTGACATTTATTTTTTCCCTGTGAATCCAATGCTAACATAGCATATAACTGATTACTAACATTGTCTACTGATAATCTCATGTTATATTCAAATTAACCTGATATTGTTCATTCAAGTGTATGTGTCCATATAAATGTATATTGATGTAGACACAATCAATTGATTGAATATGATTAATTGAGAGCAATTGAATCACATTTAATTGCAAATTGACTGGCAAATTTTCATTCCTTCAAATAATTATCAACTAAAGACCCATAACAATTAGCTAATGTAATGTCCTATCTCCATCCAATTCCTAATGAAAATCTACATATAATTGTACAATTAATAGATATTAATTCGTGTTCAGCTTAATGTTTGATTCAACAATTTCAATCTGATTTGATTACAGAACTTTAAATTATCATCATCATCATCATTATCATTTACTCAGAATTGATTACAAATTGTTGAATTATAAATGTGTCTTTAACACTCAAATTTTAATTCAATTGTAAAAGTCTAATTGGAGTCTATTTATCAATCTAAAGCTCCAAGTTTCCAATATAATACTTGTATAAGTAATTTAATCACTTGCAATTCCAACAATTTAATCAACACAACTCAATCCATTACTCCATTCCAAAGAGCATAAGATTTTTGTCATTTTCCAGAATCGATCAAATTAAATCAGGAAAAATGCAATCAACCAATTTACACGTTCGTAAATCCGATGATCATAATTTGATTAAAAGTATTGATTCAACATTAGAAACATTTAAACTAAGAAAACACTTAATAATCGTAAAGGGCAAACTGTTTTTTTTTCTCCAACTGTAATTAACCCAAATTCAGATTCATTCATATTTCAGAGTAAAAACAACAACAAGAAATGATGTTACATTTGGAAACAAAACTGACAGGCAACTATTAATATCTGAGGCTATTTTTTTTACTCCATTAAATGTAATCATATAATGATCATAATGATAATCATAATAACCTAATGGTTTGCAAATAGTTGCCTGTAAACACATTGAAAAGTAAATCATTTAACTTTTAACAGTCTGTTAAACATTTTCCTATTCAGAACTTTTCTTCAGAATATTAATAATCTTAATTTGATAAGAAAACTTTAGTCTCTCTCTCTCTCTCTCTCTCTCTCTCTCTCTCTCTCTCTCTCTCTCTTGAATCGAAACTCTTATCAGAACTTTTCTCAATGATATCTCATGTTAACCTTTCTATCAACATTTACATGATGATATTTTCATCAGGGTGAAAGTTCAAATGTTAATAATATATTTCAACAGTTTATTGTCGCTCTTGCTTAATTAACCTTTAAACTTTGGTAGTAATAGTGTAGGATGGTTAGTCTATGTACTATGATAATATGCTTATCATGTTAATATCGAGTTAATTGTTCATCATTAAGATGATGATGAAGATGAAGATGCTCATCATCATTTTGTTCAAATTCGAGACATGAAACTTTCAGATTTCATGTTTAAGTTTCTTATTGACATTATCTTAATTACGTCTCAAGTATTAATGAACTTGAGTTGTTACACTTTTTTTTACGAAGATAATTACCTGAGAGAAATGCTGAGATAATAAACTAATCTTGATAGTTAGAAAACGTCATTTACCAGGAAAAGTTGATCAAAATTCTGACTTTGTCATGAAATTGTTATAAAACATTTATCAGGTTAAAGAAAATCATGTTACCATGTTAATCATGATAAAGAAGAAGAGGAAAACTCATGTCAGAACTTTTTAAAAGTTGATCAACAATCAAAACTTTTATGATTAGTTGTAGTTACAAGTTACGAACAGAAAAAAAGTAATTAACTATTAATTTTATTCATTATTAAGATCGTTGATGTTCAACATGCTTCTAATTTGGATTTAATCAATTTCTTGCTATTAATCATTCCCATAAATCATAAAGTCTTTTTTTCAAATAATAATATCAAGAGAAAACAATCAACTACAATTGTTGGTAAATTGTTACTTTAATCATCATCAGTGTTAAACTAATACATTGGGGTTAATGTTTTACCAACAATTTACTAATTCATTTTCTTGTTTTCATCATTTTCTTACCATTAGATTTATTGTTACACTATCAAAATCAATTATCAAGGGAAATTGTATCATTATAATAAAAAAGAGCAGGAAAAAAAAACAAGATTAGCTTATTACGATTAAATCTTGAAGGATTAAGATTAATTTCACTTTTTGATTGTTTACCTGAGGTTTCAGTTGAGATTATGATTACCAATCTAAATGTTATGATTACCTGTGGATTTATGTATTAGGAAAGGTTTCCCTTTTGATTGTGATGAGAAAAAAAAGTTAATTACTTCTAATTGATTGCTCTTAAATTGTTAATCTGTATTTTCACAATCGATTATGATAAGTAGAGAAAGAGATAAATGATAGAAAAGGAATATTTATTATTTTCTTCTTTGAATGGACAATTTTGTATCATCAGAATTACAGAATTGAGTCTTTACCATTTTCTGCCGGAAGTATATGAACATTTTATCTGATTACCTGAGAATTCATGATAAAAATTGTAACAATGAAGCAAATCCTCAGGAGGAAGAGAAAAATGTTAAATGGTGATTCTCAAGTTAACTTGACCATTAAACGAATCAACCATTTGATATATTATCATGATGATTATCAAAAGGTTAATGGTGATAATAACAAGAGACGTCATAACAATTGTCCCTAAACAAATTGTTCATCTTTGAATAATCATTTTTGATTTAAACCAGTAATCATTAGGCTATTATTATCAAAGGTGATGGTGATTATTATCATTTGAATATAATAACATGGAAAAAAAATTTCCCCGGTGATTATTTCATCAGAATTTACCTTTGGAATTGATTAAGTGGAAAATTATTGTTCCTCAGCTTAAGATGTCAACCATTTTCTGTTTTCATAATGTTTTTGTATATTAACATCTTCATCTTCCTGATTATCATCATCATCTTGCCACAGTTTATCAAGCTTACCATTATTTCATGATAATCACCATGTTAACTCACTGAATTTTCATCCACAATTTACCTGTTCATCATCATCATAATCATTCATTATGAACAAAATTTGAATATTATTATTATACAATAGAAGGTGAAAATTTTTTCTATCAAAAAAAGTTACCGAAAAACTGAAAGATAATAAATTTTAAATATTGGAGGAAACGGAAACAAGTGATTCTTTCTGACTTTAACTCATTATAATCTAAATGGTAAACTGTATTGTTGATTAACAGTTAAAATCATGGTAATTAATTGCTCATCTATTATCATATTATTGATCAGACTGGTCAAATATTGAATAATAATGATTTTCCATGTTTTTTTAATGAAAATAATTTAAAATTTTGTTGAGTTTTCATGAGATTCTGATTTCTCATGATGATGATGATGTTTTTTTATGGTAAATAATAATTAGTTTGATAATCATTTATTCAAATTACTACTACAAATCGGGTTAATTTTATCACATTAGTTTCACGATTGCTGGATGAACTAAACTTTGAGCATATAAACAGAAACCCTTTTAAGTTAATTATCTTCAAGTGAGAGATCAAGTAATTAAGGATAGTACAAGATTTTCTGCTTAATTCTAATGCAACCATATAAATGATTGTAATCAAGTTACTATTAATTTTGATAATCATGATGATTAACTTGAAGCAAGAAGAAAAAAAAACTATCAAAGAAGAAGATGAAAAAAGTGAAGCAATTTTAATTCTCATTCAATGTAATTAATGATTCAACTTTACTCTGTTTTCCTTGCCAATTGTAACCATAAATCACATTAATTACCTTAATAAATCAAATTATTGATCTACCAATGCATTGGATTGATTTAATTTGAGGCATTTTATCATTGAAACAATTTGCAGAAAAAAAAAACTAATCAATTGCAAACTAATCAATATTGGTAATCAGACTTGATGATACAGTGTTAATTGTGTATTGTTGCTGAAATTTACAATCGAGTTGATGTTTTAAATTGTTGATTTAATGAATTAAGAGTAAAGCAAATTTGATGATTGTTGTTGGTTAAAGTCTTTGATTGTTGATTGTTGAATAAAAAAAAGGCATGAATGACTGAGTAGTTTGTTGAATGGATCAATCAAAATGTGATATTGAATCAAGATAAATATGATTAATAAGATAGCAAATATCAGGTAACTTTGAAATTTGATCGTCAAGTAAAAATACTCAATAGATTCGTAGGTGTTGATATTATCCTGTTGACATGAGACCTGATGTATCCTGAATTTTGTTCAATATTCTTGCTCTTCAATCAGAATTATATTCTTGGTATTAATATGTCTTAACTTGAGCATCAATGATAAAATCGTTTTAAGATTGAACAACAATTTGAAGAAGAAAATTTCTCATTTCATTCCAAGCAAATTCATAAACGTATTCTATTACCTCCATGAAATGCTGCTCTTCTTTTCTTTAGCTCTTCAAGATGAATAAT